ACAAACACGGGTGGATTGAAGTTATCGCCCTCACCATCAATGCTTGCTGGTCAGTTAGCCCTTTCATCGCGTAGAAGACTAACTCGCTAAAAAGACGCTTACCAGAAGCTTTCAATATACGTATTGGGATCGCTGCAAGCTACGTGAGTTTATATACACTCTTTATATACTAGGCCCCGTTCACCGTAGAGTAAAAGTCAGTTATGAAACTGCTCACGTCACGTGGCCCTTAGTCTCAGTTTAGTACATGTATATCTCTTCATCTTGACTGTCGCCGACTCGAATATCATAAGTTTCCACTTCTCTGCTACGGTCTAAAGAGTAAATAAAGTTATACTAGATAAAGTCAGTACTGATTGTTGTTGAACTTAACGTGCGTTTCGATGTACGATTCAGGAACCATTGACTGGCATTTTAATGAATAGTTAAATCGGCATTTGACTTTATGTTTATTTCACAGACATTTGTGCGCAGCGAGATTGGGTGCCTTTCCCAAGGCTTTTTCTAGCCTATAATATACCAGACAGAATCCTTTCGTAAATGATCCATGTTTGAAATTTATGTGTTAATATCGAGCCCTAATATAAGAGATGTCCAGGGTTCAAATACCATACTGTATTTAATAATCCGAATGACTGCAAATAAAAGAAGTAAGATAGCTACTCATGAATGGCTATTTTCTGTGAGGAAACTAACCATAATATCAAGGTGTTTCCTTTTAAAGTGTACTCCCACTTGCACATTATTAACTAGTGAACGAATAATATTGAAAAGACGATGCCAGTAGTAAAATCAACACACACAATTCTTGGTAAGTGTTTGGGTAAAATACAACTGAACGTGTGCACGTATGAAAGCTGTATTTTAAAATATCACTAACGAAACATCAGACAAAAATTGTTTCGTAGAAACTCAGTGATTGAAATCCAATTACTTCGATAACCCACTCGAAAAGCTCATCTGAATTTCTCTCTGTAGATCACTGAATTTACCCAGGACTGATAATATGCAATCATTTTCAGACTGTGATTCCTTTCGTTGTCTGATTGTGAATTCCCAAGTAACCAATAAAGGGGAAGTAAAGGCAAAATGGAGAAATAAAGGGGACGAAAGCGTAAATAAAGGGGAAATGTCGCTTTTTCGACTTTACGTCGGTTATTTAGGGGAAAGGTCACTTTTTACCTCTTACGTCGTGTATATAGGGGATATTTGTTGATAATTATACGTAACGTACCGTGTTTGAATATGCCGCATCCCGTACTGATGTTCTCATAAACGTCGACAAAATAAGGCACCGCTTAATAAAAAAACAAAACTATTGTCATAAACAAAAGTAACAAAATACGGACACAGGGATTTGGCTGTGACGCATATACACTGGCTTAGTTTTTTGTTTAGCTAAAGTGTTCCGACGTGCTTGGTAGCCATCACAAATAAATAACGTGATGCAGGTGAGTGACGTGCTCTTAGTTTCTCATGTTCATTATAACTACTTACCTTGTTAGTTCAGTACTATGAGTTCAATTAAAGGCACCGAGAGAGCTCGTAGATGTAGGGTCACTATTAACTTGTCAAGCGTCCTTGGCTGTCATAGATTGACTCATAACAGACGGTGGAGTAAAATACGTGAAGCTTTCATAAAAAAACATAACTTGCTTTCGTATAGTCAGTTTGCTAATAAAAGTACAATCAAAGGGAACTGACTTTAACAGTGGTCTATGTTTCATTGATTGCAGTCGAGAGAGAAATTATTTGTAATGAGAGTCCTTCAACTGGTACACCATCCACTAGGTACAATAATCAGGGGCTTCTAGATAATAATGGTATGTTTATGAAGTAATTACGTTAATATATCTCTTATAGAATGTAATGGCGTTAATCTGGGCTCTCAGAAGTTAGTAAATCGTAAAGAGCATATCAACGATCTGTTAATGAATTTAATTACAACAACCTCTCTGAGCATCAGAGATGCTGATCGGATTCTGAATGGTTTCCGAGTTCTTGTACCGGACTTACCGAGTAGAATCAGAAGTGTCCTGAGGACATCCACAAGTCTTCAACCAAAGTTCATCAACAGTGGGGGTTTACTACCACCTCGGATTGAAAACCAATCTGCTAAGATATGTTGAACTTTGGTTGTGTATTTTAGGTTTTGATACTTCAAATTTTTATGTTAATGTAGATGGACGTTCTATGTCCAGGAGCTCAAAGCAACATTTTTGGCCTATATAAGGATGGGTCGTTACCCTAAGGTTTACTGACGTTCATGATAGGGATGTACGGGGGGGGAGTAGTTCGACACAGTTAGATAAATCACCGTCAACATTAGAATCTAAGCATTTAGGCTGTGCTATCAAGTCAGCAGTTCCTTTTGTCATCTGAAGAGTAACTGCAGATGTTGGATACTGGTTTGAAGCAGAAAGAAACAAGTGACGGATTTGTAAGTTAGCCACTGTAATTTTACGGTTTCTTCGTAATAAATATGGCCATGTTAACGAGGTTAATGGATGATGATCCTAAAACGTCAATGCGGTATGTTTTGTCGTACCTCACGACTCCTGAGGTGACCAGTAATTTCACGCTACTTGGCATTTCTTAAAAACGAGCACTTCAGAAATGCCGGTTCTACAGCTGCTTACGAAGTAGCCTATATCTATTATTTAAACTTCAGGTGCATTAACAAATTGCTTTATGTCATCCTTTGTTAACGAATAAGACATTGCGAAGCTGTACGACATCACGACACAAGGTTATTTTCACGATGTCAGAGACAAATTGATAAAGCGTAATAGAAGGAAACAAGAACAGGTATGTACTAATCTAAAGTGATAACGTCCCTACTGCTCTTTAGTTATAGTCAACAATTTTGACGAACATAACCGTAAGTGTATCTTAAAGTATCTGGCTGTGCCAAAGCATGTCATTCAGATATCGATGTAACTTCCTTTGTTCTTTACACTTCAGAATTCACAGGAAGCTTATTTTCATTCTCAATAGCCTAACATGCATCATTAAAGGAATTTATCCGTGAAATATTTCCTATGGTCTACTCATTTTTAAATAAACATTGTTTTGTAAATGAGCTTACTTTATTACTTACATGGGAAACTATTAAAGTGTTGAGAGAGTGTGTTTGATTGTCAGTGAACATGCGACTAAATGCATCTGCCGTATTAATAATACATCACCTGTTTCTTCTTTTGCAGATCTTTTCAAATAACAATGAATTGGCAATTACAATGAACATGCATAACGATTGATGCTCAAGCTTCTGCTGTAATGTTGTACAATAATACGCTTTTCTTTTACAATAAAATTATTTAAACATCTAACATTTTTCCCGTCTATTGCAGTTTTAGTGTGGTTTTTTGTGAGGAGAAAGGCGAACATAAAAGACCTTTGAGGTTATGCCAATGGTGTTTTAAAAGTTGAAGCAAAAGTAGACAATTCGGCGTATATTTAGGCGAAAAGAAGACGATTCAGCGACATTTGAGCGACAGAGCGCCAAAAAGGGGGGAAAATCCGCATTATTTCCCCCGTACAGACGGAGAAGCAGACATTTTGGCGCGTCGCCCCTTTATTTTCCGACGCATTTTTCCCTTTGTTCGCCTTTATTTCCTCTTTGTTGGTTGGTTGGGTTACTTAATTTGAAACATACTTTTAGAGATAGCATAAGCATTAACTATTTTCATTCTGAATAGGAGTGAATTGATGTAGAGTGAAACAGAGAGGCACTCGGGAAATGTAAGAACGTAAAGATAAACCGTTGTCAGTAGATGCCTACATGTTGATCATGATTGTCCCATCGTAATCACTGATCAAACGACTAACCGTACACTGACAGTAATCGATCCTTCACTGAAGGTACATGTGGCCGCCAAACCGAATGTCAATATTCTTCACTCAACATTGAAAAGCAGTAAAGATACGGCTTATACGCACCATCACATCTCTCATTACTTCGAAATAGATCAGAAGTGTAGTGAAATACTTATTGGTTTCCGTTGCTCACTATCTGATGTAAAATCATGATGAAAACAACATTTAAATAACTCTGAGTCTGCTAAATCCACCTTAAAAGAACTCTAAATGACGTACTTCGGTTATAAATGACATAATTATTTCAACGTAAATCAAGAAACCCATCCATTTCACGTTGGATCGAAGCAAAAACTCACATTGCTTTATGTAAGCTTTATCTAGACACATCCAAAGCATCTTAAGTCATAGCATTCATTTTACGTACTTAATTCGAACATTAGAACTAGTAAATTTTAAAATTTGAAGACACCTTAAAAACTTGCTTTCGTCTGGCGCAGCTATAAACTCATATCGACGAGCTTATCCGAGACTATGTCATCTGGGAACCAGTTCTCTACAACGATGACAAGAACTAGGACTTTTGATCTGCAATAAAAAATACTCCATGGATTATACTTCAGCTATAAACGCCATACTGAGGTTAGAGCATTAGTTGGATGAAACTTTATTCGAAGTTAATTCACAAACTGGAAATTCAACTTTTATGACCGACGATTTAATATCTTACCAAGACAAACTGAAATGTACTACAAGAGAATGAAGCTTTTAAGTCACAACAAAACACAGCGTTTTCAACGGGCATTTGTGCAAATCAATACGAAACATAAACCAGTTGATCAAATGAATAGCCTAACAGCATCACAACACAAGCAAATAACCAAATGAAGGATGAATATAAAAAGTACATTGCTGACTAACATAATTAAAATTTAACTCTTCGGAAAAAAGATTTGAAATAAATCGATATATTTAACCAACAAATACTGATTTACTTCCATAAATCGGGATGGTTTCATCAAATGACCAAGTTGTTGAAAAAAATGATTTACGATGAACTTTTGGAGAAAATAAGTCTGAAAAAATCAAATAAAACTGCATATTCAAACGTTTTGGATTATTTTAAGAATTTAAAAATTGTTTTATTGTATAAGAAAACATTTGGTGACCTTGATATCTATAACGATTTTTTGAGAAAATTTAAAAATGAACAAAAATTGTCAAAACAATTTTTTTATTTAGTAAGCTATTCAGGGTAAAGATTGTGAATACCATCTCTATAAATAAAGCATGGACTATTCGCGCCTCCCCGATAAGGCTGTTAAACTTTCTGAACTACTGGACCTAGCTCTTGGAACACCTGATGTAATAGTTATAATATAAATCATAAATTTATTTTAGCCAGGGTCGGTTAACTTCGGAATACTGTATATCATTTTATCACATATAATAAAGCACCTCAAACTCAGCGATGTGGAGCCAGATGTAGAGAAACCTTCAAATGAACCACGGTCACAGAATGATGTAAAAATATCAACTTCTGAATTGGCCCCAAATATATTCCATAATATTCAAGTAAGGTTGGCTTTGTAAAAATTACTGTTTTGTTATAAAATCTCATTTCTGAGGCCATTCGACTGGCCTTAAGGAGCTCTTTAAGGAACCATGGCACAGCTGTGTCAGTTATTAAGATCTTCCTTAAGTAGTCATATACTGTATAATTAACCGAAATCGGCTTCTGAATAAATAGTTTTTGGCGAGACTGTAATTGATGTACGAACCGTTTAGGTATAAGGCAACAGGTATTAGACGTTGGCGCAAAATTCACTCATCCATTTGGATAAATAGAGTTTTGGCATCATAGCTGATGTCAGTTCTTGATGAAAACCCTAAATCTAATTCCTAGCCCTAACCACAGAATTTGAATCATAATCCAAAATACTCACACTAATTTATTATCCACATTTGGTCCTAGTTATCAGGTGGACACTCTAGAGGTCAGTCTAGCGTCGCTCAAAGATTGCCCATAAATTACAGTTCCACTGTATTTTCTTCGAGCGCATTTTTAATTCCAAAAATCAAATCAGTTCTGTATACCACACAATAAGATGGATATTTTTAGCACACATTATCAATTAGATATACGGATAATACGAGAATATAATAAAATATAATTCACCAATTTTAGTAGATATGTATAATGTTCTCTACTACAGTTTGGTGATTATGATAACTTCTACCTACATCTATGTATTATTAGTAGACGAAAGTCAAACAAGTATCTTGATTCTCTGTGAATACACATTTTCAGAGCATGATAATTAAATTTTATTAAAATTTTAAATCTTAAATATTTGTAGATAGATGTTCAGCCAATAAACAGTTCAGTTTTTAGTATCAAATAAAAATATTTGAATTCCAACTGAATTTATTAGTTTATTTGACTTATTGTTTAAAACCACATCGTATGAAACAAACACAGAGACATGATGGTGTAAATATTTCGTTACGGCATACTTATATGAATGGTCAAAAAACTAATTCTAATATCTGCTTAACTTGTTGTTACTATATCTTCCCATGTCAATGTCAAGAGTCCTCATAAATTAGTTTAACTCACAATAAATTCTTCATATATCCCTTTTTGCTTTACAAGCCATAGGTATTAACATTTGTTAAATAACCGTCTGTTTAAAGTAGATTTTAGGGGGTTTGATTTTTATACGGTTGTTTAAACTTGATTTTTGAATGCTTTGTGTTGTACGGTATGCTTTGACAATGAATAACATCGTTTCTTGTAAGCGCAAAGTATAGAAGAAGTAACGTAGGATTGAGTATCTAGTTCACAACGAGGAACGTAGCTCAGAAGTAGCGCATTGGATTATATATCTGCAACTATGAAATGAGGATTTGCTATCTTCTCAGCATTAAATTTCTAACAGTTCAATGTCTCATTAAGTGATAGCATATTCAAAAGCGGTATTCATAAATGTTTTACAGCTAAATTTTACCCAAGAAAAAACTATTCAAGTAGATTTTAACCAAAGTTTTAAGTTTAATAAACAGCTCACGACTAGAGTTAGTTTTATTCACAATATCTTTTTAATAGGCAGTTCAATATTCCTTTGAGATAAAATAATAATTTAATAGGAATTTTGTGGTTATTTTGTTATCCAACGCTTATTCTTTAGTCAAAAATCAACAAATATGATTGTCAATCAAACCTAGGACATTTAAATGGTAGACCGTCTTTTTATCGTTCCGAAATTCAATGATGCATGTTAAATAGTAGTTTTATTAAGATCTAAAAGAATTCTAAATGTAGTAACTTAAACTGATGGGCTAATGCATTAGGTTTTACCGTTTTTAAAGCAATTGGCAATATAGCAAGCTTTTGAGGGAAAAATTAAACAATACCAATATGATAACGGAAATGAATAAGAACTTTAAAATGTGAATCAAAATCCATTTCAACACTCACCTTATTCTCTACCAAATGTTCTATAAGACAAAAGCTGGACATTTATCCAATATTCTTTTACTAAGAAGACAATCATACATTGTACTTCATATTAATGAACTTAGATTGGTAACCAATTCTATGTTGTTTGGATATTAGTACTAAATGAATTCGGTCTAGAATATTTACAGTACACTCACTAGTCCAAATGATTAATAGTTAAAATTCATCACTATTTAACGTTAGGCAGTTTGGAGTGATTAGCAAAACGATGAGATAAGAATGATAGAAACTTCGTACTATAAGATGGTCCAGTCCTCCTTTTCAACTTATATATATATATATATATATATATATATATATATATATATATATATATATATTACATGGTTTAACTTAAAACTAGTGACAACGGGTTAAAGCCCAAATGTTCATCATCATTGTATAAAGTAACAAAGCATTTAGACCTATTAAGTCTTTTGATAAAAAATCACGAATTTTTATAGCAAAGCTAAATCCCCCTGTTATTATATTGTCAAGTAAATGACCCTACCAGATAAATATAACTTTGATGTGCACTTTTAAAAGCAATTGATAACCATTCCTTGATAAAGGATCAAAATAATATTGAATAGCGGAAATGATGACTTTTATGATGCTTTTATCATCAGAAATTTCAAAAATTGGTTGAAATAGTAAAATAATATTCATTACCTACTAACTTATACTTCATACGACTAATTAGTCTCACTACGATATACTTAGTCAGTGGATAGTTAAAAAACTTCCGTACCTGTTAAAAATAACTTTACAGGTCAGGAACAGCTAAACTGTATTACGTTTGTTAAAACTAACAGAAATGTAAAGGTTTTTTTACTACTGACAAATCATGATAACAAAGAGTAGTAGATAATAACCAAAACATCTTGGCATATACGACATTGGTCATTACGAAGCCATAGATCAATTACAAATATTTCTGAACTTAAAATGTCTTTTCAATCGTTTTGTATTTACAGTTTGAATAATGATGAGTTTTCATTCAGTTTGACATTGTATAGTTAGGAATATATTGACAATATTTAAAGTAGCGTTATACGATCCTACGGTTACATGACATCTGTAACCTTGAAAGAAGCATTTCTAGGAAGTCAACTTGCTGGTAAAAATATCTCTCCGATACTTTCTATTGTAAAACTCATTTTTAATACTCCAACCAAGCAATAGAAGAATGAAGTGACCCCCCCCCGCCAAATAAATAAAACTTAATTGTTTTCTTGATCTAATTTTAAGATCTTAGATAAATATGATTAAATAATCGAATTGAAAGTTGTTTTACGCTAATTAATGTATACTGAAGGTGGGATTGTGAAGATGATTATGTTTTTTATTAAGCTCATAAACCGACTGATGTTAAACCATTATTGAAAACCTGTAGGTACTGGACGACGGTTTTATCCTATTATGGAACTCCTCAGCGGTGTATATTCACGATCCCGCTTGTGGGGTAAAACAGCCGTCCAGTGTTTCCAGGTTTTCAATGATGATCTAAAATCAATCACTTCATGATCTTGCTGTGCTAATGAGATGTGGCATCTTGAACCGATGCATATATGTGCCTGATCCTACATTGAAGCTAACTGACTGACTGACTTTAGTTGAGTCATCAGAAAACATTGAATTATCTTATGAAATTGCTAAAAATCGACTTGCTTTTGTTTAAACGTTCTGATCCTATAGTTAACTGCTTGAATATCTTACTGAAGATCTCTAGGATTATAGCTCTGAACAGCCTACATGATTTGACAGATGTGGTTATTTATTTATTTATTTAATGCAAAATTATGAATGGCTCTGAGATACTTTAAATATAATAGAAAGTTGTATAAATTAAATAGATCAACAACTAACACACAACAGTACAACAGTGTTACATTGTTGACGATTTACATGCGATTAAAGAAAGGAAATGACTGTAAATAAACGTTGTTATGTGTATAAAACAAGGTAACCAATATAATAGATTTTAGTTATATGGTTAAATGTTAATGGTAACTAAAAATAACAATGTTGGTGAAAGACGAATAGAAAATTGTTCGAGATTATAATTTCTAACAGCTGAGTATTGTAACCAATGGTTGAAGACTCTGAGTGACCTAGCTTAGAATCGATCACAATGACGTTGGTGTATACACTCTCTGTTCTCCTTTAAGCTAAGAGATTAAAATCGCTTCATATCCTTTATTTCGACGAGCTATTTCTTTCTTCTTGTACAATACCTGTATACATAATCTTTCTTTTATATATTTACTACAACTGAATTAACAACTTCTATGATTCCGGTGTTCATGTTGTTGTGCTAATGAGGTATGGTAACTTAGACCGATGCACATATGTACCTGGTCCTACGTTATAGCTGACTGACTGACAATAATCTTGATTCTGATTACTTTGTAAATGTTTCATTTTTATGATAAAAATGATCTTTACTTTCATAACTAGGTTGATTTGATAATCTCCTTGATTGTAATAATGAATCAAGCAATTTTAAAGGTTCTTCAGTTCCTTATTGTTTAATAAATCTTATATATCACTTTTCTTGTAAATATGTAGATAAACCTTAATGGAAATCAACTGACAACTGAAAATCAGACTGATAAACTGACTACTAACATTTGGGTTGATGTATTCATCCGGATACTAGAATGATATGATTATTGATTTAACCACAATTTTATTCCATAACTTCTAGTGTTTTCCAATTTTTTTCTAATGCATGTTGCGACTATGTAGCCTGTCATCGTTGTCCATTACATTACATTCATTGGGTTTTTGACTTTTGAGGTAGCATAAGTTGGTGAAATGCCCCTTACCACAGTTCTATATTGTAGATGTTAGAGTTCTCATCTCTTTGTGTGATCCATTGCAAAAGTGTAGTGCAGGGATTCTGAAAATTCAGAATAAGAATCATGTTATTAATGGACTGTATAAAATTCAACATCACATTGCCCCTTAGAATGTATCATAGTGGTAACATGTATGGTATTTGGTAGCATCATTAGTGAAGGCTCACGTGGATCTTTATGTAATCAGTGTAGTTAATCCAACTTGAAGC